TTCGAATTCACAGGTCGTCGAGTGGAGCCAATCTAGTCTGGAAACATCTATTCTGGCGTAAATCCTAAATACGGTTTAGGAACTAATGTTTACAGACCTTCGAAATAAGCTGCAGATATGGTTTGATAAAAAACATGACTTCAATATCAAGATCCCACAAAACATGGATATTTACCACCACATACAGGAGAAAGTAATTGTCTACGTATATGAGCACGAAAAGTCCATTTCGTTTGTACCGACCATAAAACGTACATGTTCTGAAAAATTGAAAAATCGGCAATATTCCTGAAATATTTCATAACTTTCTCTTACTACCTAGTATATACGAGAAAATAATATTATCAACCGCAGACAATAAAGGAGAACTTATGCAACACATAATTAATAATTATAGAGAGTTTATAACCTTCTGTAAAATTGAATACTATTTCTATCCAAATACATAGCTTTTTCACAAGGCACGTTATTCAAAACTGAAATTTCGCGAACTTCCAGAATATGTCATGATACATAAGGTCCTATTGTTTTGATATGAGCATATTCCTTTCTTATAAAGATTTCATATATAAGAAAAATCGGTCTTTGGTTTTTGTCTCTTTTATTTGATTACTTTATACAGAAATTCTATCTTGAACACCATTTATAATCAGACACTTCATGGAAGTGATGTACACGTTTCCCTTCACTACTGACAAATGTACGTCTAAGTTGTATTATTTAATGGCAAATGGAATTTCTGAAAATGTAAGTATAATACCCACATCACTAAAAAGAACTATCTTGTAGAATTGCGTTAATATTATGGCATTCTCTTGCATCAGAACACGTGACACACAATGTATAGTTCACTGGCACAAAACTCTCAGAACAATAAGAAATAAACAAAGATATCATCCATATTAATATCAAAACTGTATTTACAAGCACTTTCTTTAAAATAGTGGTCACCAAAAATTTAGAATAATACACAAGGAGATTTTTCGCAATTAAATTATCATCAATTGTAACACATTTTGTCCACAAGTCAAATACAGGACAGAGTCACAAAGTAGATATGTTTACATCTGTAATTCTTAGTTGTGCGACCAAATGTAAATAATGCGCTTATTTCGAAAATGACGTAACTCTATTAAAAACCCTTTTTAAGAAGTGGAAGTATTCTCATTCAGTCTTATAGTTAAAGACAGGAATCCCGCTGAACGTAAGATAAATGCAATTTTTGAACACAGTATTTGGCATCATGATGGAGAAGCGTCTTCTTGATACGTAGAACTGAAAGACAAACGGAAAGGGAGATTCTATACTTGGGACAAAATATTCAATTGTGTTCAGCGATGTATTGATCTCAAAGTTTGACAAACGTTTGACAAATTTGTTTGGAATTATTTTATATTTATAATTGTCATATCACACAGACGAAAGGATGTAGCATCAAAAAATTATAAATTACGTTTTGTAGGCTTCCGCCAAGGTGCGTTTGAGCACAAATATATAAAGAAATTATGAAAAATATTGCAATATAATAAAATTTTGAAATATATAAATATGTGTCTCTCAATAATCTAAATATTATGGACAATACCAATATCCATAAACAAATGTTTAGAATGTAGTATTTTAAATATCTCTAAGTCTTCGTTTTACAACTACATGCGAAAATTTCTACATACAAATCCTACCTCTGGATCTGAAAATGCCTGGACATCTCACATGCATAAGGTACTGAATTAATTGACAATTTCAGTAATTGTGTGGCTTGCTGAGGTGCCTTCCTCAGACGTATTGAAACATGACAGCGTTTCATTGTAACGTCAAATTCTTTGTAAGAATTGAACGAACAAATAGTGTTCACTAATTAAAAATATTTATTAAATACAGTTACGAAATATTAGTTTCAATACGTTTTCACCGTAAATTTCTAATATTGAGGATGAAGAAACACAATGCAAGCAATTGATTTTATTTTGCAATTGTAATGAATGATAAGAAAAATAAATGTGTAATATGCAAACAATATTTGGATCATTGGTAAAATTAATTACGAGATCTACGAAAACTAATTTGATTATCTCACTATTGGAAAATATGTTATTGCCGTGCAGGATACAATTTATGCTTCATTGACGTTTATAGAAGAAATACCAAATACAATTTAATAAACATAAAAATAAACATTATTTTCAAAACTATGCATAGCCTTTTTACAAAGAGAGTCCAATAACGTCTTTTGAAAATCATTCCATTCTTAGAATAGATAATACTAACATTGATTCAAAATACAAAAGTCATTAACATTTTGGCATTTGGATATCTAGGCAAATAACCTAAATATAACGTAAGTTTTCATGGAATTGAGTGTTTATGAAATGTTTATAGACGATTTCCTTTACTGAATTTTTCAATGACATATACTCTGATTCAGATTATTACTGACTGAATAAGAAAAATAATTAAAATATGAGTTATTCATTAGATTACTAGCAGTTCACTAAATTATTCAGTTATTTTTTGCTCTCTGTTGAGTTTCGAAGAAATCGAGGATAAATGAATGCAGTGCAACATGTGTCGCTTATTCTGAAAACAATCCAGATGAATATTAAGGCAGAAAAGTTATTCAAATTTATAAGTTATTGAATTAAATACGTAAGGCTATATTTTTGTCGTCTAATAATAATTCAAAAATTATATTGTCTTATTGTCAATTATTATTTAATATTTTAATACAACATTAGTTTAATTTAAAGTGAAAATCCAGTTGACCACTATATTTTATACATTTCCAGCCCTGTTATAATAATGGCTAACAACAAATCACCTATTTTCCGTAATCAAGTACTGACACCACTTGTAAAATGTGTGAATGATCAAAGCTTACAGAGAACGTTGAAGAATGGTAACTGAAACTCTCGATACATGGTCTTTGAAGTTATTCAAAGCGTAAACCTAATATAAATAAATTGACATAGCTTTGCGGGTACGTTTTACAGAAAACAAAGTATAAAGTGCTTTTAGTGACGCTTGTGTTCAGTTGGCTACATTTACATCAAAAATTGTTGTTATTTAAAGCATTTTGCAAATGAATGTTTTCCTTGTGATCTACTTTTTTAATATTATTTTCTGCAGATTATCATCTTAACCCAAATAAATAAATGTGTGTCTGTATTGTCTGATAAGAAACAAATGTATATTATGTAAATTCTTGGAAGTTAATTAAAGAACTGGATCTTGCCTACAATCCCCATTTACTTTCATTTTATTGGAATGCACTGTTTAAAGGTCGGAAAGTGACGGGTAAAAATAAAGTACGCTTTTCTAAAGTGGTGTCTCATACATATTTATTTCTGTAAGTATGGGATAGACAACGCCAATGGTACATTACAAATATACATTTTTATTTCACCACTCAGTTAATATATCATTTACAAATTAATTTATGAAATTCAGAGTATGAATTGGTCTTCACGGTTTTTAATTCCATTGATAATACAGTGATAGTTATCTACCAAACCATTCAGCTTTCTGACGAAACAAAATGCACGAAAGTAAGACACCGTATATTTTGTATATAGTAACGTACAAAATACATCTGGGAACTTCCTGGCCCACACGGATCAGTCACAGCAGTCGCGCGAGATATGCATATGAAAAATCGATATAGAGTAGGCGTAATTCTGAAACCTCACGTATACGCACCTCAGTCGTCTAACACTCAAATGTTTGCTGCTTCTGTTACCGCATGTCCAAATTGTTTTTCTTAACTCTACATTTGTTAACATCAACGTATTTAGAATATTATTATTGAATTTTGTCGAAATAGTTCATTGGTTTGACTGAATGTTTTGGTCTCAGCTTTTTTTCAATATAAGTACAAAACTACCCTTTTGTCTCTACAGTGCAATCGCAGGCTATTTACCCTAAATCCGGATTGCACCGTGCCAAGGATATGTCATAAGGGTAAAGTCAGTAGTTTCCCTACGGAAGAAGAATTTGCATGAGTGTTCTTCGAAAAATTGGTAGAGTTTCACGGAGTAGCGAGATCTCGCCTCCGAGAACACAAGAATAATTCCTGTTGAGTTACTCAAAATTCTACCGAATGTTGTCTAAATATTTCAATATGTATATATAATTTTAGATTGTATGTATTTAAGTTTCCTAATAAAAGATTTCTTATAAAGTTAAGAATGCGTGGGGATATGAAGGGTATTAATTACAAATTTATCAAAATCACCAACACCTCGAAACGTGTGTATATAACTAGGATATTTTCTCTCGTTCTGATTTATTAGTGAAAATATTGTTCAGTCAAATTGTATGATAGCACCGCGTTGTGGAGACCGATTTATGCTACCGTTCAGTGCAACGTGATCCACCATGTGTAGGCCTGTTGTTAAGAGAACATCACATCAACTGCGTTCCAACATTTAGAACAACAAACATCACGGATGTGGGGAAAACGGGTTGGATGGACCTATGGATAAAAACGTACATCAGGTTCATGGAAGCAATGTCATGGGTCACAAGAGGTAAAGAAAGAGGTATAACGGTATTTGCGCATGGAACATGAAAACAATTAATACGTTTTCCCTGGCGACATCACATCACAACAGGTAAAGCCGCGTGTACATACATTTATTAAGTTTCTATTGTGTACCGACGTTTCGCTCAAATCGATTAAATGACGAAGAATTGCAGTCATGTACACATCAATTTTCTGAAACAAAACAACAAATCTACATGCATCTCGGTGAATGAAATGCCAAAAGGAGTAAATGAACGGAGCGAAACCTCGACATGCAGAAACGACAGCGACTCGGAATAAGTCTCGAGAGGAACAGCGTGGGCCTGCAGAAGACGCCGGCCGGGGCCGCGAGGCGCAGGGTCGCTCAGTGGCCGGCGAGCGGCGCGGGCGGGCGCGCGGCCGCGCTGCAGAAGATCGGGCAGCGGCCGGCTGAGACCGGCGTGGCCGCCAGCGAGGGGGAGTGCGGCGCGGCCCGGGGTCACGCGTACCCCATCAGGTTGCTCTCCGTGCTGTGCTCCGCGAACAGGGCCTCGTCCGTCAGCGTGATGTACGTGATGAAGGCCATGTCCGAGTGCGTCGACGACGAGGGCAGAATGGACCTCCCCGAGTAGCCCGAGTCGCTCTTGCGCAGCTGCTGCGCCTGCTGCTGCAGCTTGAGGCGTTGCCGCCAGCAGCGCAGGCCGCAGAAGCCGATGCACGACGCCAGCAGCACGCCGATCACCACGCTCACCAAGATGGCGCTCAGGTAGCTCCTCTCGATCCCCAAGGTCAGCAGGAAGTCCTCCTCGCGGGTGGTGACGGACGTCGTCGAGATGACGATCACGTACTCCTCGCGCTGGATGCATAAGGAGAACGAGTACGTCATCCCGGGCTTCAGGCCGTGCACGGTGTACGAGTGCATCTTCATGCCGACCGAGAACGTGACAGACTGCGGAGCAGATTTGGCGCCTTTCCTCACTTCTTCGTACCGAAGCATGTAGTTGTTGGATATAGAGTTCGACATGTTCCAGGTCAGTGTCACGAACGTTGACGTAACGGTAAGCGGAAAGAGGTTTACGTTAACGTCCCGCACCTCCAAGGTTACTATCCGTGTGTCGACACCCGCGAAATTCTTAGCCACACATGTATACGAACCGGAGTCTTGATGATGAAGATAATGTATAGTTAAAGTGTGATCCATAACACAGAAGCGGCCAACACACTGCCCGTTGTACAATCTCTCACTATTCTTCGAATACCAAAGGACTTTGATATCAGGGGATCCAAGAGCACGGCAATGAAATGAGACATTGTTTCCTAATGTATGGTGGAATGATGTAGGGAACAGTGGAATAATATAAGGTGTACAGGCGTCAGAAGATTCCGGGAGATGCACAAGCGCGGTACGATTGGCGTTTTCTCTCTCTGCACAAAAAACTTCTTCATGTGTCCTATTCTTCAACCACAACAAACTGCAATGGCATGCAAAGCTATTGTTGTTCACGTGTAGTTCCGAAATGTTGGGACACGCTTGAATAAGCTCGGGTTCCAGAGTAAAGAGAGCGTTGTTGGATATATCCAGCTTCCGAAGATTGGGCACGTTCACCAAGCTCTGCGGATGGAGATACGTGAGCGCCGGGTTGCCGCGAATCTGCAGTTCCTCCAGCTCGAGCAGGTTGTGGAAGGCCTCGCGGTGCACGAGGTGCAGATTCCTCTGGAACGAGATGCTGAGCGAGGAGACGGCCAGGCCGACGACGGCGCCCGAGGGCAGGAAGGAGAAGCTGTTGCCGTCGAGCACGAGGCGCTGCATGTGGCCCAGGCGCTTCAAGGCCGCGTTGGGCACGCGCCGCAGCCCGTTCTGCGCCAGGCTCAGCTCCACCGACACGTTGATGGCCTCGAACGCGCTGTCTTCCAGCCGGATGATGTGGTTGTTCGACAGGTCGAGCACCTTCAGATTGTGGGTAAACACGTAACTCGGGATCATGGAGATCGCGTTGTAGCCGAGGTACACCTCTTCGAGCCTGGGCATGTCGGTGAAATAATGGACTTTCAGGAAGGTGAGTCTGTTGTACCGAAGATCTAACACGGTGAGTCCGGGTAAAACGAACGCGAACGCCATGATGGTGTGTAGACCGTTACCAGATATGTTGAGGTAGGTCAAGTCAGGGAAATCCCGAAACGCGTAGGTCTGTAAGGTATGCAGACTGTTGCCACTGAGGTCCAGGTACCGCAACTTGGGCAGGGTCTTACCTGTGCCCGCCACTTCCTGCACGCCGC